CTATTGACATAGTCCAGTTCAAACTATTGGTTGACTATTGACTAATTCAATTTTGATATTCTATCCATTTTATTTTAATACAACATGATCGTAGATTTATTAGTTTATTCGTCAGAAAGCAACAAACCTTGGTTTCTTTAAGGTTTTTATGATGGATGTCATTTAAAAAAAATCATTTTGTAATTCAAAACTAATCAGTTATAAATATGGTGGCCGTTTTATAACGTAGAGTGATCGGTTTGATAAATGAGAGAACATATTACGATAACCTTACGTCTTTATATAAAAAAGGAACGAGTCATTTAATTAATAAAGAGAAATTAAATATTCTCTTGTCTTTTGTTATTAGATATCAAATTTAAATAGTAACATGTATATTAATAGTTATTTAATAATATTTTAGGATATTAACGTAACATATATCATCATTTAAACGATTAGGAGAACTTAAACGACTAAAAGAACTTAAAGGTACAAAAGATAAAAAGAATATTTAATTTCTCTTTAATAAAATCACAGCTTTAATATGTGCTAGTTTTTTTTAATACAAATAGTCCTTGTGTGTTTTAAACTTGCATGAACGGTCCTTGTGTTTTTAAAATGTGCTAGTTTTTTTTATACAAATAGTCAGGGTTTTAAACTTGCATGAATGGTCCTTGTGTTTTTAAAATTTATACGAATGGCTTTTGAGCTAACATTGACTATTTTGCTTTTATTTTATTATTTTTAAACTAAATGTAATTATGAAAAATAAAAAATAATTAAACCACACCTCTTTTCAAAATCTTATAAGGAAAACACAAATCCCAAAACTCTTTTGACCTTCAAGCGTCTCTAATGATTGGGTTGTGTTATAGCTTAAAATTATTATCATTTCATCATTCCATTAACTTTAACCTCTAAATAAATGATCTCTTTAATGTTTAACCTTTTCCACTATCATTTTCTTTAAATTTAACTAATATATAACCCTCTCCATTTAGTTAGTCATTTTTAAACACATATTGTATTAAATGCATTTTGATAATACCTCTAAAAGTTCGTAAGATATCACAAAATATAGGATAGATAAATTAAATAAAGTGACAAATCAAATAATATAATAAAAGGGTAAATTAAAATATAATTAAAAGATGAGGGGATAGATCATTCAATATGTATTGAATGATCAATAAAAATAACCAAAAAAGTGGTGTGCTCCAAATGGAATAAGTGATCATTTAAAATAAATAAATAAATAAACCAACATTTAAGACACTCCACTATCTTTTTTCATTATTCTTTCCATTTTTTTCATTTATTCCTTTCCAACCCTATCCCATTTATTTCTTTATTTTAGGGGAAATGAATAGTATAACATCATATTTTGTGTTATACTATTCATTTCTCAATAGGGATCAACTTTTAGTTGTCGATTTTAGTCTTTTTTTTATATATTTATATATTTCTGGTTTTTTTATCTACTAATTATAATTTAAATATAATATTTAATAATTGTTTATCAAATTCATATTAAAATTTAAATGCATATTGAAATTTTAAAACACAATAACATATTTTACAAAAGCTTTATAATTAAGTGTTGTAATTATAATTTTATTTATTTAATATTATTGTAATAAAAAATATCGATTATATATATGTTAAAACCAAATTAATAGAATGTTTGTGTTTGATAATTTATATAAGTTAGAATAATGAAAATATATTTTTTGGGGGTAAAAATAGGATAGAAAATGATGTATGGTTGGAGATGAAACACTATTTACCCTATTTTATTCTATTTTTGAGGAAAATAAAAATAAAAATGAGTTGAAGATGGTCTTACGTGAATATCTGACTGCACAACTTCCCATTTGTGCCCTTCTTCTTGAACCGAATGGCATCTACAAACAAAAAATTGTAGGGTATCTGGGTGATAGGAATTATGTTTGTCATAGAGAAGTAAAATAAACTGAAATTGTGATCTAGGATCATTTATATCTAGGATCATTTATGTATTATTTTTTGTCAAAAATCTATTTACTTCTTCCCATTTGCCTAGTTTTTTTTTTTTTTGAACAAAGAGACAACATGGTGGAAAGGAAGGGAGGATATATATGACTGAAAATTTTAAAGGTACAATTTACCCCTAATTGTGGGTGTACATCTCCATTGTAAGTCAATTTTTCACTTACTCTAATTTATATATCACTGAAAATAAAGTAATAACCTTTTTAACAACACTGTGGAAAGGAAGGGAGGATAAGGCTAAGAGCAGTGATGACACTCTTACCATCTTGCTACATAAGCATTTTAAATGTCACATCATTTTTCTACTTTTAACATCTACACTTAACATTTGCTAAGGAGCGGTAACACTCTTAGTCTCTTAGCACTCAATTTTTTGCATTTTCTTTTTTTTTTTAATTTAATTTAATTACTATATTTTAATAAATATATTTTTTGTATTTAATTTTTGTAATTTAATTTAATTACTTTATTTTAGTAAACAAATTTTTTTATTTCATATTAAATAATATTATATATATATACTAGCAGTGTACCCGCGCAAAGCGGCGGGGCGTGTAAATTCTTTCGGTGATATGTTTCCTCTACAAAAATATTATGTTACAAAAGAAAGTACATATCGATGACAAAATAATCAAACTATGGTGTTATTTGGGAGATGAAGTCATTTTTTGTTCCTGGACGGTGGGCTTTATAGCAGGCGAGGGAACAAAGAAGTATATGCGATTGGAGGGATATTTGAATCAACATGCTAAATTTAAGAATATCTAAAAGGGTTCAAAAATTTGAATGAATTCGGGATTTGAGGGAACCATATCAAATTGCTGAGAAATATAAGGAGATTTGATGATAAATTTTTGAAATCAAAATGTGGTTAAAATTTAATATTATTTTATTAATTGTTACTTGTACTATCAGCTTTATCATTTGGACGTCTTAAAAAAATATTATTATTATAATCAATCTATTTTTAGAAATAGTTAGATTTCTTTTATAAGATAGTAAATATATATATATATATATATATATATATATATATATATATATATATATATATATATATATATATATAGGTTCAGGTTCATTTGAGACCATTCTAATTTTGTGAGACCGTGAGACCAAAAATAAACATAATTTTAAAATGCAAAATAAATGGAAAAATCCAAAAATTCTTTTTTTAAATATTATTTTCGGATTTTGAATTAACTAAAAATTTTTTTTAAAAAAATCCTTTTTTTTTGAAAACACGTGAAATATTCTAATTGAATATTACACTAACATATTCTAAAAAATAATTTTAAAATGCAAAATAAATGGAAAAATCTAAAAATTATTTTTTTAAATATTATTTTCGGAACTTGAATTAACTAAAAAAAATAAAATTAAAAAATTTCTTTTTTTTTTTTGAAAAATACGTGAAATATTCTAATAGGATATTACACTGTACATATTCTAAAAAATAATTTTAAAATACAAAATAAATGGAAAAATTCAAAAATTCTTTTTTTAAATATTATTTTCGAAACTTGAATTAACTAAAAAAATAAAAAATAAATAAATAAAATAAAAAAATGCGTCTCACGGTCTCACAAAATTAGACCGTCTCACATGAACATAACCCTATATATATATAATACACAAACATTTTTTATTTAATTAATAACATAATTTCTTGGGGATATAAAATGTGGTCAACATCAATTCAAAAAAAGAGTCGAGCTATCCTCCAAATATCAATTCAGCCAATTAGAAGAGGTTAATAATCTCTCTTACATCTGGTCATGCCTTTGATGACTAATTTCTAGCAACCCCCTAATTAGTGCTAGGGGCGGTGTACAAGATCTTTAACGACTTTAGTGAGTAAGGGTCGCGACCCCCACTCAGTTTAGCCTAAAAGAGTTTAGGGAAAATGACTTAGACATGGAGGTTATCTTTTCTTTTAGATCATATTAAGAAAAAAAAAATTATATATTTGACTATTTTCTTGTTAAATTTATTTAAATATTATTATTATTATCATCTGTTAGATAATAATGTTAATATGTAAACATGTTTTCTACAAGTTAAATGATCAAATGTGTACAATAAAATAAGTTGTCTAAATGTAAACATTTTTTTATATATTTCTTAAGAGTCTTTATAATTTCTTATAATATTTTTATAGTGTTTTTAATACAATGTTTTAAACTTTGCTTATAATTTTTTTTATACTTTCATATAGTTTTAATAAAAGTGCTCTTAAATCAAATATTTTAAAATTTTCTTATAATTTTTGAACTTTTTTTTTTTACATTTTTATACAATTTTTTTTACAACTTTCATACGATTTTTTCTAAACTTTCTTTTACAACATTTTTAAAGTGTTTCACATATTTTGTATGAAAAGTTAATATATTTTTATAACAGTTTAAAATACTTTCGTTAAATACAAGTTTAAAACGTTGTATTAAAAAAAATTAAAAGTCTATAAACCTCTAATTAAAAAGTATTAAAAAGTTGTAACAATTTTAAAACATTAACAATATATATTTTTTTATTTGTTACGTAATATTTTTTAATTTTTTTAAAAGACTCTCCATACTTATTGTTACATATTCAATTTATTAATATGATTATTAGATACTATT